GGTTTGGGGGGAGGTGGAGGAGGGTATGGGGGAGACCTCACTTAGGGTGGTGAACACACAAGACAGCGTACAGACGATGTGCTGTGGAATTGTGTATCTGAAACCTGTATAATTTTGTTAACCAGTGTCACCCCAATAAATTCAGTAAAAAAAACAAAAAAAGGCATCTCACATTTAGCATATCCTGACTCTACTCTTCCACCTCCACATCACATCTCTTTTGCTTGTCCCAGCTCAGTCTAATTGTAATCAGTTTCCAAATCCTGTTAATTCTGTTTTAAAGTCTCTCAGATCTGTGCCTTATTCTGCCCGCTTTAGGCCTAGATTACAGCCTCCTTTCCTTTCTCACCTCTATCACAAAACAAACACACACACACACACTTTTAGGATTGTTGGCTCTGGCTTCATTTAAGTAGAACAAACCAATCCCCAGTATGAATTAATTCAATTAGAAAATTTCATTCAACTCATCACCTTAAAGACTGTGTTTCCAAAGTATGTTCAGAATAACGGATTCTTTGTTTTGTTAAATCAAAGCTTATCTCAAGCACCTGCAAGTTCATATTTGCATCCTTCATAAGTCTCTTTCTGAGCTGTCAGTCTTTCCTTTGGGACTGAATTGCTCTCCAAGTTTCTGTCCATTTTGGCAGTGACAACTGCCTTTAGATAGCCAGCCTATCAGCAAGGGGCAGATTTCCTAGAGTATTGAATACGGCATATACTATAAACACAGTTTAAAAAGTATTTATATGGTAGAACAGCCTTTGCCAATTAGTTCATTCCATTGTAACTGGGCAAATTTTTCTGTGGCAAGCAGAATCCACCTATTAATCTCTTCAAACTCTTTCCTTGCTCTACTTGTGAATACACTTTGCCTATCCTTCTAGATCTTCTGACATGTAGGAACCTAATGCACAGGCTCCATTTTTTCTTTTTTGTGGTTAAAGTAAAAAATATTTTGTTTATATGTATCTTATTTTTAAACTGGGAAAACCACCAGTGCTTACTGACATTTCTGTTTATCTGTATTTTCAACTGAATTCCACGTTTACATTCTGTATTCAAGTTCTTATTGAGCTATAACTACACCTCCCATTTTCACATACCTAATCAATGGTCAAGCGATCAACTTTTCCCAGTAAAATTTTCAACCCTAAAACTGTAATTTCTTATAGTTCAGTCACGGAACTCCCATTATCTACTCCTACCCCAGTCTCTGTCCTTTTAAAGTAGTGAACAATTGGCTGATGGCTGGTAAGATATGAACTTGTCCACTACACTGCTAGAAAATATATGTCTATGAGTCTTGCAATTGTATTTCATTCATCACTCATTCTTGCCATACTTTCCTTGGAAAAGAGTGTATAATATATTCAAAGCTGTATCTTTCCATTAATGTTTCAATAGTTACATTTTAGCTTTTAAGATTCTTGGATTTATTTAAAGATAAAACTGAGGTAAATTCATAATATTAAACACCAGCCAGTTTTGACCTGCCTGCCCGCAGGAGAGGTAACCAGTTTTCACTAGAATGTGAAGCAGTTTGGTATTTTCTTTTTAATTAAGTAGAGTCAATGATTTGCAAAAAGAACAAAATATGGCAAACTGTTTCATTTGTGAGGTGATAGGAGGCCTTTCTGTTTTTCATCTCTCCCAGGAGAACGATTAAGAAATGGACGATTAAAGGTTGTGAAGGTCACAAATGTACTTTTTTCTTTGCCTTTATAAAAGGCATTATGGTCACTATTTCTTATATTTCAGAGATCATTTTAAACTTAAAATCATTCTTAATAAATATGAACTCACAATGTTCATGAGAAGAATGTAAGATATAAATAACATTATTTTACCAGCAGAAGAATGCGAAGGATTGGGAAAGTTGATAAAGCCACACGGAATGTCAAAGCAGTGATATATGGAGTAACTTTCAGATTCCTGAGGTACATATAACTGAGTTTCACTCACCCATATACATAAAAAAAGAAATACAATCCTTGCCCTGAAAGGAAAACATGTCTGGATTTTCCTTAACTCCACAGTCTCAATTTCTTACCTTCTTTCTTGGTGGCTTCTGTCTTACTTTTTCTGGGTTAATTACAGCAGTTCTAGCTAGGACTACTGAAACAACATAGCCTTCGTATTCCTATATATTTAT